TTTATTAAACTAAATTATTTATGAAACATAAACAAACTATAAAAGGGTAATCAGACTAATCAGGTTAATTAATGGTTATGAAAGATGTCTCACAAATTAGGTACTGACAGATAATGATCATGGACCAAATAATATGAAAATATAAGATTGAATTCTTATCAATTCACGTTGCATAGCACAACAAAAACTGTAATCCAAACAATTTTATTCATATTTAAAAAAAACATCAAACAATCTAAAATGATTGCCGTCTACGCATCCAATATATAGTTGGTTATACCTTTATTTGTTAATGTTATCATCTTGTTATATATTTAAGTAATAATTTGCTATATTTAGATTAAAATGGCTCCAAGCTTTCTGAGTTAGCGCAACAGTTTTAGATCTGTCTAACTATTTCGATTGGAATAACTTAGAGTGTTTCTTTGCTAAATCACGACTTTAGATCAGTCGTATATGAATAAAAAATAAAAATCTGTAAAATGGACCATTCATCTGTTTATAAATATTTAATTTAATTTTAAATACAATATTATAAATTTTCAAATTTGAACTGAAAAGTGCGGATTAATTAATAAATAAGTAAGTAAATATTAATTAATAATATTCCTTAATATTAATATATAAACAACTTTCTTGAATCGTATGATAATGATATAAGTTAACAGTGGACCAATTAGATCTTAATTAGATATAGTAGATTTTACCGTTTCTTATATTTTATAAGATTTTTTCAGTTATATATTAAATAATATATTAAATAATCGTTATAAATACTAAATAAAATATTTATATCATTATCATATATAATCGAATTTAGATTACTGGATTTAAAGATTTACTTGTCAGATGTAGCTGTGATATCAGTGTTAGACCTTATTTTATTTTAAATTTGGTTAATAATGCTTCTATTTTTTTGATTACTTTATGATTAAACTTTATGAACTTTATCTATTATATATCTTAATAGAATTTTTTATCTTAATACAATATATTATCTTAAATCAAAATTTATGAAAGAGATAACTTCTTTTCGCAAAGTAATATGAGGTGATTATATTTTCCCTTAGTAAGAATGAAATTTATTTCATTCATATTATGTTTTTTAATTTTGTTTATCAGATTCATAACTATTTAACGTTTGAATATCAACATTATGTTTTATCAGCGATAACTGAGTGTTTTTAAAATTGTTATAAATAAACAAAATTAACCTTTAAAAGCATTGTAGATAAAAAACTTGCCTTCTTTTTTATTAAAATAGCTTTAATACGCTTTAATAATCACATTTGTATTATTAATAGTTTTTGGCAATATTTTTGTACTTTTAAGTTCTTTATATCTTATCTTCAAAAAGTTTGAAAACTATATAAAACCATTTTTGCCATTAAAAAAGTAGTTAGTTGCACTTCATGGAATAGTGCTGAACATATTTTTTACTGAAAATATTTAATCAAAATGGAACAATATTTAAAGACAACGTTTGATCCAGAAACAAAAATATGGAGTGGAATTAATATGAGTCCAAAATTTGGTCCCGATTGTTCCATTGGAAAAGTTGTTCTCGATGCATTATTAAAAGAACCAGACCACATATGTCAGGCATGTGTCTATATTAAAATTTAATTACACAACCAAGTATAAACTTTGAAGTCTAAATATGTGTTTTTATACAAAATATAGATTTGTTATCATAATGGAAAAGAATATACTAATCGGGAAATAGTCAATTTGTCTATATGCATCGCTTTACATTTCAAAGACTTGGGTTTACAGCAACAGGATATTATTGGCATTTGCGCTTCAAATAGTGATTATGTGGCACCAATATTTATTGGTGCAATGTTTTGTGGATTAATAGTTAGTACATTGGATCCAAGTTTTGATAAAGGTAACAACAAAACAAAAATTTGTAAATGAAGCGAGTATATACATTTACTTTGATGTATTTTCTCTAGATGGCATTAAACATATTTATGGTATAACAAAACCTAAGATATTGTTTTGTGATGGCGGAATTTATGAAACACTCAAGGAAGCTTTTCAAGAAATTAATCTCGAGTCCGACATTTATACCATCAAAGACCACATTGTTGGTGTACCAAATGTAACAAATTTATTTAAAGAAGTTACGGATAAAACATCATTTGAGTAATGTTTTATCTTTTCATTATTTTAGTCATCGAAATAAAAAATAAATTTTTTATATTTTTACAGACCTGTCACACTAAGAGATGGTTGTCATCAGACTGCAGTGATTGTATGTTCTTCAGGTACAACTGGTTTACCAAAAGGTGTATCAATGTCGCATATAAATACTTTAAACGCCTCTTCTTCTATGTATGTTTATAAACTACATATTTAAAAAAAAAATAATTTAAAAATTTCTATATATATTCTAGACAAACTCCAGGTGAAAATATAAACTTCTCTTATAGTACACTTTACTGGGCTAGCGGGCTATTTACACAGATCAATTGTTTAGTTGGGAATATTACACGTGTCATTATAGATAAACCCTATAATGCGAAAGAATTCTTTGATATAATACAAAAATATAAAGTAACATATATTAATACTCCTCCTTCACAATTAGCCATGTCATTAGCATCGCCTAAACTAAAGGATTATGATTTGTCTAGTCTAAAGACATATTTCTGTGGTGGTAGTGCAGTTCCTTATAAATTAGTAAAGAACTTCATGCCTTATGTACCCAATGCAAAATTTTTCGTTGGCTACGGCATGACTGAATGTGGGAGTCCGGTTGCATGTGGTATCCCTACACCTAATGGTTGTATTGGTCAATTAACACCTCGCTCAAAAGTAAAAATAATCGATGATGATGGTAAACAACTAGGACCAGTTGAAATTGGTGAAATATGTATGTGGTCACAATTTCCATGGAGTGGATATTTTAATAATATGGAAGCCACTAACTCGATGTATATAAACGGTTGGTTACATAGTGGAGATTTAGGTTATATGGATGAAAATGGATATTTATTTGTCGTTGATCGTAAAAAAGATATCTTAAAATATAATAATTTTCACTTTTATCCAACCGAAATTGAACAAATAATTATGGAAATACCTGATGTTGTTGAAGTTTGTGTTTGTGGTATACCAGATATAGTATCTACTCATTTACCTACTGCAGCTGTAGTTCGAAAACCTGGAAGTGATCTAACGGAGACAGAAGTATACGATTATGTTGCTGAGAAAATGGCTCACTTTAAGCATTTACGAGGTGGTGTTTACTTTATGAATAGTTTACCAAAAACAGCATCTGGTAAATATTTACGAAGGGATGTATTAAAAATATGTGAAGAATTGTATAAGAACAAACAACTTAACAGATAAAGTTTAAAGTTTAAAATGAATATTTATTTTCATTTAAACACTCGAATTTGTGAATAAATTTTGTAATAATTTGTAACAAAAAATCATAAATGGAGAAAATAAATAATTTATTACAATCCATGTTATTGCCATCCAAGCTTCGGAAAAATTTAATTGATTCTTTATTATAACTTTAAAGAGAATATAAATAGTAAAAAAATAAATAGTATGAAAAATAGAGTACGATCGACAGTGTTTTGTTTAGAATATTAGTAAGAATAGTTTTTTGGGAAACCTCGGATATATTTTTTGGGTATATCAGATAGAAGTGCAAAAGTTCATAAATAAATGGTTGATTTTTTTTACATTTTTACGTATGCCATTACGTATTTACTGTTAATTTAAATTAATTTTTTTTTGCATGTAATTAATAACTATATCTAAATGTTTCAAAAACATAAAAAATCATAATTTTTAGTGAAAACTCAATTTCATAAAATTACAAATAACTTAAAAATTAGTGGGTGGATCTCTCCCTTTTTTTGTTAGGAGTTCAATTTTTATAAATGTAATAAATAATAAAAAATTTTTTTGAAAAATTTAGAATGGGGGTGGAGATAAGCGCAAACTTTTCGAACCTTAGTGATATAGTTGTTTACCTATTATAGTTTTTGAAATATTCAAAAAAATGGAAATATTGACAATGCTTGGATCCAAATTTGGAAGCGAAAATTCGGTAAATACATTTTAAAGAAATGGCATCTCAAAAACTATATATATGGAAAATTGTATTTTAATATCTCTATCTCTACAGGTTCACAAAATCTTACTACACGGTACGTAGTTCCTAAAATGTATTTTTAAAAAAATATAAGACTTTCACTATTCTTCAGGTCAAGATTGAAAAAAGTTATTAAATACTTTATTGAAGAGTGGCATTATTAAAAACAATTTATCGACAGAGAAGCTATATAATTATGATATAAGGATGCTTTCAAGTTGTTATCGTTATAAACAATAAATAAAATATTTATATCATTACCATATATATCATATAACATATAATCAAATTAGATTACTGGATTTAAAGATTTACTTGTCAGGTGTAGCTGTGATATCAGTGTTAGACCTTATTTCATTATAAATTTGGTTAATAATGCTTCTATTTTTTTGATTAAACACTTTTTGATTAAACTTTTTTATCTTAATAGAATATATTATCTTAAATCAAAATTTATGAAAGAGATAACTTCTTTTCGCAAAGTAATATTAGGTGATTATATTTTCTCTTAGTAAGAATGAAATTTATTTCATTCATATTATGTTTTTTAATTTCGTTTATCAGATTCATAACTATTTAACGTTTTTGATATTCATTATGTTTTATCAGCGATAACTGAGTATTTTTAAAATTTTTATAAACAAACAAAATTAACCTTTAAAAGCATTGTAAATAAAAACTTGCCTTCTTTTTTTATTAAAATAGCTTTAATACGTAATGACATTTGTATTACATATTAATAGTTTTTGCCAATATTTATCTTCTATATCTTATCTTTAAAAAGTTTGAAAACTATATAAAACCATTTTTGCCATTAAAAAAGTAGTTAGTTGCACTTCATGGAATAGTGCTGAACATATTTTTTACTAAAAATATTTAATCAAAATGGAACAATATTTAAAGACAACGTTTGATCCAGAAACAAAAATATGGAGTGGAATTAATATGAGTCCAAAATTTGGTCCCGATTGTTCCATTGGAAAAGTTGTTCTCGATGCATTATTAAAAGAACCAGATCACATATGTCAGGTATGTGTCTAAATTAAAATTTAATCACATCTTCTTCTTTGTTTTATTAACTCCCAGTGAAGCATAGGGCCTCAACAAATCCTCTGAGCCGTATTCTATTTGGAGCTGCCGTGCAGATGTCGTTCCATGAGTAGCACTGATGTTTGGCATCAATTGTTCTTCGCCATGTTCTTGAATGAGCGCCTGGCCGGCAACTGCCTTGTAGGTTCCACTTTACGGCTTGCTTAGCTATGCAAGAATTCGACTTGCGTAACGAATGTTCGATCCACTGCCATTTTCGTTTTTGATTTCACTCTCGACGCTTTGTATGTTCGCTCTTTTCTACAATTCCGCATGAGAGATGCGTTCTGGCTACCATATTCTGAAGATGTGTCTTAGACATTAATTTATGAAAATTTAGGTTCGCGAATTGATGTATATAGTAAACTTCCATGTTTCGCACATACAGAAGTACGGATAAGACATTTGATTTAAATATTCGAAGTTTTGTTTTGACGCTTAGTTGATTTGACGTCCAAATGTTTTAAAATGCATACTTTGCCTTATTTATTCGAGCCACTACGTCTTGTTCTGCTCCGTTTACGCTAGTAATCACGCTGCCAAAATAATCACGCTATCAAAGGATCTGTTACAGCACAGTATCCACTGAACATGGTAACCGTTCAAAACGTGTTTATTTCCAAGCCTGCTATCGTTACGATTTAGGCTACATTATGTTGGAGATCTCTGCTTCTGTGACCACATATTCGAGATCTCCTAGATGGAGTAAAGGTGTCCACTATATACTATGGCGTCCATCAAGTGAATTTCTTAAAATTTTATCTAGCCAATATGGCAGCCAATATAAAACATCTGTTCAGACTATCAAAGGCTTTTTTAAAGTCTATAAATGATGCATTAACAGATAATCTGGATTCGTTACATTGTTCGAACACGATGCAGACAGTATTGATTAGGTTGACACAAGATCGATTTCGCCTAAAACCATATTCATTTTCACGGAGGAGTTCTCTTACTATCGAGATTCAAGATAGTAAAATCGATGTGAGCATTTTGCTGGGCATTGGGAGCAACGTGATATTTCGGTAGTTGTTACAATCAGATCCAACACCCTTCTTCGGAATCTTAACGAGCACACCTTTATTCTAAGAAAGTGTTACCACTTCCTTTTCACAGATTTTCTGCAGAATAGTGAGCCATATAGATGCTAATAATTCTCGATTGACTTTCATAGTTCAAGATTTACGTTGTTACTGCCTGAGGCCTTGTTGGTTGTATGTTAAGTAGTTTTATGGCGGCGATAAATTCAGATCTCGTTGGTGGGTCTGAATTGGCACTTTGAAAGTAACGCAAGTTGTTTGATGGAGAAGTAAGTTCTGCATCTTCTTGTAATCCCAACGGGTTGTTGAGCACCTGTTTGAAGTATTCAGCCCATTTCTTGAGCCGCAAATCTGAGTTGGAGAGAAGTTTACCGTGCTTATCTTTAATAGGTTTGTTTTTATAGTGACCTTTGCCGGAAAGAAATCTTGTTACCTTGTAGAGATCTTTCATGTTACCCAGGTTAGCTGCAGACTCAGCAACTTGTACTTGATTTTCTGTCCATTTTCTTTTATTTAAATCACATAACCAAGTATAAATTTTGAAGTCTCAATATGTTATTTATACAATATATAGATTTGTTATCATAATGGAAAACAATATACGAATCGGGAAATAGTCAATTTGTCTATATGCATCGCTTTACATTTCAAAGACTTGGGTTTACAGCAACAGGATATTATTGGCATTTGTGCTTCAAATAGTGATTATGTGGCACCAGTATTTATTGGTGCAATGTTTTGTGGATTAATAGTTAGTACATTGGATCCAAGTTTTGATAAAGGTAAAAACAAAACAAAAATTTGTAAATGAAACGAGTATATACATTTACTTTGATATATTTTCTCTAGATGGCATTAAACATATTTATGGTATAACAAAACCTAAGATATTGTTTTGTGATGGCGGAATTTATGAAACACTCAAAGAAGCTTTTCAAGAAATTAATCTCGAGTCCGACATTTATACCATCAAAGACCACATTGTTGGTGTACCAAATGTAACAAATTTATTTAAAGAAGTTACGGATAAAACATCATTTGAGTAATGATTTTTCTTTTCATTATTTTAGTCATCGAAATAAAAAATAAATTTTTTATATTTTTACAGACCTGTCACACTAAGAGATGGTTGTCATCAGACTGCAGTGATTGTATGTTCTTCAGGTACAACTGGTTTACCAAAAGGTGTATCAATGTCGCATATAAATAGTTTAAACGCCTCTTCTTCTATGTATGTTTATAAACTACATATTTAAAAAAAATAATTTAAAAATTTCTATACATATTCTAGACGAACTCCAGGTGAAAATATAAACTTCTCTTATAGTACACTTTACTGGACTAGCGGGTTATTTACACAGATCAATTGTTTAGTTTGGAATATTACACGTGTCATTATAGATAAACCCTATAATGCGGAAGAATTCTTTGATATAATACAAAAATATAAAGTAACATATATTATTACTCCTCCTTCACAATTAGCCATGTCATTAGCATCGCCTAAACTAGAGGATTATGATTTGTCTAGTCTTAAGACATATTTCTGTGGTGGTAGTGCAGTTCCTTATAAATTAGTAAAGAAGTTCATGCCTTATGTACCCAATGCAAAATTTTTCGTTGGCTACGGCATGACTGAATGTGGGAGTCCGGTTGCATATGGTATTCCTAATAGTTGTAATGGTTGTATTGGTCAATTAACACCTCGCACAAAAGTAAAAATAATCGATGATGATGGTAAACAACTAGGACCAGGTGAAATTGGTGAAATATGTATGTGGCCACAATTTCCATGGAGTGGATATTTTAATAATATGGAAGCCACTAATTCGATGTATATAAACGGTTGGTTACATAGTGGAGATTTGGGTTACATGGATGAGAATGGAATTTTATATATTGTTGATCGTAAAAAAGATATCTTAAAATACAATAATTTTCACTTTTATCCAACCGAAATTGAACAAATAATTATGGAAATACCTGATGTTGTTGAAGTTTGTGTTTGTGGTGTACCAGATATAGTATCTTCTCATTTACCTACTGCAGCTGTAGTTCGAAAACTTGGAAGTGATCTAACGGAGACAGAAGTATACGATTATGTTGCTGAGAAAATGGCTCACTTTAAGCATTTACGAGGTGGTGTTTACTTTACGAATAGTTTACCCAAAACAGCATCTGGTAAATATTTACGAAGGGATGTATTAAAAATATGTGAAGAATTGTATAAGAACAAACAACTTAACAGATAAAGTTTAAAGTTTAATATGAATATTCATTTTCAATTTGGAAGTCGAAAGATGTGAACAAATTCCTTGATAAATACAAACTACATATTATTACTCTTAATCGAATTTAATAGATACATTATACAGATATATATGAAATAATATTTTTTATTAGGGTTTTAATAAATTATTTTACGTATTGCTTCCTTAATTCTTGTTGAAGCATAGGGCTATCAATTTTTTTTATATTTAATATACGCATGTCTTTTTTTATACTATATCTTTTTATGGAGCTTGTAATAGTTAACTTTTTCGTCTATTGGGCTAGAGTTTCGATGAAGGTTAGAAAAAAGGTACAAATTAAAATAAAATATCTAGCGTTAGAAACGTTTAATAAATTTTCGAACTTGTTTTACTTATCGACCGGAATTGCTTTTAAAACGATTTTCTTGTATATATAATTTCAGTTCGAGAAATAACCAAAACTCGCACGAAACCAATTTAGGTGAATCGATCGAAGGTGATCGATAAGAATAATATCATTTCTGGTCACAGATTAAGTGGTTGATCTAAAGATCCATTTTCGTGCAATAAAAACAAACTATTTGTTCCGCGATATTCTGGCTGTGTCTGTTCAATTCTGACCTACAAACGTAGTAGAACTCATAGACAATATTTAACATTCACCATTGGACTTTTTGAATTAATTTCAACTTTCACTGTGAACCATTTTGGCTGAATTGAATAAAATGGTCAACATTGCTTTGATTTCGCTCTTTTGAAATTGTGATTTTCTCTCATTTGGACCTTCTGACACCTACTCCACACTTTAACATTTTATATTCGGATCATACTGAGAACTCTGTGTTTCATCACCAGTTACAATTGCAATTTTATGAACTTCTCCAAAATATGATAGGTCGTGTTCTTCGGTATTCTAGTTGTCTCTTCAAAAAAAAGTCTACACGACAAAAGAGGAATTGGTCCATGTCACAAAAAAATTGTGCGTGGGAGTTACAGTCAATCCCATGCATATTGTTTAGAATTTCGTTTTTTTTGGTGACACTTTTACTCAAGTTGAGACAGAATTTAATTTTTATTCTCTGTTTCATATTGTTTTAACAAAGAAATCTCCGGCGAATTCGCTCAATACACACAGTTAATGAACAATCAGAGATAGACTATTCACTACTGCCTGAACAGATTAATTGGATTTCTTTCAATTTTGGAATTTATCAAACACTTAAGTAGAGGAAGATAAACTGGAGATAAAGTTTAAGTAAAGGCTGATTTAGGCATTTTAGAAGATAACTGTTTTACTCGAAAAATGTAAGCTGATAATGAATTACATTAACATAAGTGTAATATTTTTTTTATTCACATTATGTTTTCAAATTTATATACATTTCGTTTATCAGATTTATAGATATTTTTCGCTTTTCATTTTAATTATGTTTTATCAGAATTATCTATTAATTACTGTACATAATACTGATACCATAAATCTTACCATAGAAGCAAAGTGAATAAACAAACCCATCCACATATTCTTATTGATAATAGTTTTTGACAATGACTTTTCATTTTTAAGAATTCTTTAAATCTTATCTTCAAAAAGTTGAAATTGTTTATAAGAATCATTTTTGTCACTGAGAACATAATCAGTTGTACTTGTGCCTTGGAGCTGTGCTTAACATATTTTTTACTGAAAATATTTAATCAGAATGGAAGAATATTTAAAGACAACGTTTGATCCAGAAACAAAAATATGGAGTGGAATTAATATAAGTCCAAAATTTGGTCCTGATTGTTCAGTTGGAAAAGTTGTTCTCGATGTATTACTAAAAGAACCAGACCATATATGTCAGGTATGTGTCTAAATTAAAATTTAATTATTTGAAATCTAAATATGTGTTTTTACACAATATATAGATTTGTTATCATAATGGAAAAGAATACACGAATCGGGAAATAGTCAATTTGTCTGTATGCATCGCTTTACAATTCAAACAGTTAGGTTTAGAACAAGAGGATATAATTGGTCTAGTTGCTTCCAACAGTGATTATGTGGTACCAATATTTATTGGTGCAATGTTGTGTGGATTAATAGTTAGTACATTGGACCCAAGTTTTGATAAAGGTAATAAAAAAAATAAATTAAAATAAGATACAAGTGTATTTGAATATATACATAAGCTAACATATATGTATACTTTATTCAACTCTAGATGGTATTAAACATATTTATGGCATAACAAAACCTAAGCTAATGTTCTGTGATGGCGGAATTTATGAAACAGTCAAAGAAGCTATTCAAGAAATTAATCTCGAGTCCGACATTTATACCGTCAAAGACCATATTGTTGGTGTACCAAATGTAACGAATTTTTTTCAAGAAATTAATGATGCAGTCTCATTTGAGTAATGTTTTTTGTTTTCACTATTTTAATTATTGAAATTGAAAAATAAATTTTTATGTTTTTACAGACCTGTCACACTTAGAAATGGTGGTTATCAGACTGCTGTAATTTTATGTTCTTCAGGTACAACTGGTCTTCCGAAAGGAGTATGTGTATCACATATAAATATTTTCAATAGCTGTGCTCTTATGTATGTTATGTTTATAAATTATATATTTAAAAAAAAAATAATATAAAAATTTTTATACATATTTTAGACAACAACCTGGTGATAATAAAATATTTTGTTATAGTACACTTTATTGGTCTAGCGGGCTATTGACAATGACAAGCGCTTTAGTTGAAAACGTCACTCGTATTATTGTAGATAAACCCTATAATGCAGAAGATTTCTTTCAGATTATACAAAAATATAAAGTAATATCTATTACTAGTCCTCCTTCACAATTAGCCATGTCATTATCATCACCTAAATTAAAGGATTATGATTTGTCTAGTCTAAAGTCATATCTTTTACTTGGTAGTGCTGTTCCTGATAGATTAGTTAAGGACTTTATGCCTTATGTTCCCAATGCAACATTTTGGGTTGGCTATGGTATGACTGAATATGGAAGTGGGATTGCATTTGGTATCGCTAAACCTAATGGTTGTGTTGGTCAATTAACACCTCGTACAAAAGTAAAAATAATCGATGATGATGGTAAACAACTGGGACCAGTTGAAATCGGTGAAATATGTATTTGGTCACAATTTTCATGGAGTGGATATTTCAATAATATGGAAGCCACTAACTCGATGTGTATAAACGGTTGGTTACATAGTGGAGATTTAGGTTACATGGATGAGAATGGATTTTTATATGTTGTTGATCGTAAAAAAGATATCTTAAAATATAATAATTTTCACTTTTATCCAACCGAAATTGAGCAAATAATTATGGAAATACCTGATGTTGTTGAAGTTTGTGTTTGTGGTGTACCAGATATAGTATCTACTCATTTACCTACTGCAGCTGTAGTTCGAAAACCTGGAAGTGATCTAACGGAGACAGAAGTATACGATTATGTTGCTGAGAAAATGGCTCACTTTAAGCATTTACGAGGTGGTGTTTACTTTATGAATAGTTTACCCAAAACAGCATCTGGTAAATATTTACGAAGGGATGTATTAAAAATATGTGAAGAATTGTATAAGAGTAAACTATGTACTTAATGGATAAAGTAGTGAATTAGAAAGTCAAAGTTCTAAAAAATATTTCAAATCCAAATTTAAATTGGTAAAAAGGCAAATTAAATAAAATTTTTATTTTGTATTGTTAAATTTAATATAAAATATATATTAATTGAACAAAAACCAAAAATTATTTTCATATCTTAATAGTTTTTTTTTATAATATCTAATTACTATTTAAAGGACACCGTTCTATCTTTTTATATCTGAAGAACGTTGTTTTATTAGACTATATGGATACTGACACATATTAGTCAATGATTTTTGTATCTATAATTTGCAAGAATAACAATATATTAAGTTTTATAGTATGTTAAGACTTAAGCGTAGCTTATAGTATGTCAACCGACAATTTGATTAAGAAAATTGTAAGAATTTTAATTTCCAATTACCAAACTTTTTAAAACGAATAGTAAAATAAAAGAAAAAAGAAAACTATTATTTTATTATGAAATTTTCCTCTCAATAGTTCTGCAGTATTTTTTTCAGAGTTAATTTTCTTTGTATATAAAATAAAAATATGTATAGTGAAGATGAAATATATTTAGCGGAAAATTCGTTATCAATTTATTTATTAATAAATTGTTATTAAATTATTTATTTATTAATTTCAAATAACACTAGATAAAACTAGTGTGTGTTTACAAATTTATTTCTATTTATAAACTTAAAATTACGTGCAAACAACACACACTTCACAATATCACCATTTACACCTTTGTTTTTGCACGAACGCATGAATTTCAAACTAATTATTTTGTTTAATCAAATATTCGCATGAGAAAGACAAGATGTCGTGCGAATAGTTCTCAGCAACTATAACTACTCACATATGATAACATACATTTGATTTGCTCGTACGACTAGGCAAGACAAAATTCGTATGTAATGTAACCGCAGCATAGCGAAACTGTTGGACAAGTTAACAAAATTTCACAACTCAATATTATATTTCACATTATGATTCTCAACTTACGAATTTTATAAAATCATCATTCACACTGTGTTGAAAACTCTACACTAACTCATAAACAATTTGTACACTCTACACTTGTCTAGGGGCATTCACTACTATTATCCAATTACTCTTAAGGGTATTTATGTTCAATATTTGAAGTCTGTTTGTTATTGAGAGAATGAAAACAAATTATACATATTAAATGTAATTAAATATTAATATCTGGCGATACAAAATCTAAAGCTACTGACTATATTACTATTTCATAAAGTATTTTTTGAAAATTCCAACAGATTGTTATAGTTTACACAAAACTTATTATTGGAAAAAAAGTTCTTTATTTTTTAGAGCTTTATTTAATATAATATAGCTGTTTCCGACAAAAGGAAACATCGTTTTACTAATTAACATCGTTTTCCCGCTTTAGCGTAGCGTGCTAATACCGCTTTCGTGTTAAAATAATTTTTTAAAATTTACATAAATTTAAAAGGAAATTTTATATACTTATAGAAACTTGGCAACATTGTAATTCAATTAGTTTTACAATTATTAGTGCACGCATTGAACATACTCCAAAAAGACGTTTAAACGCGCTGGCGGCTTTTTTGCTATTGAAAAATTATTAAAAATTTGCTTAATTAAAATGGAAAAAAGTGAATTTGAATTATTGGAGTTTAATTTTACTGCCGAACAAATTACATTAGAACGTAAGTAAATCAAAGTTTAAGAAATATATAAATGTTTCAAAGCGTATCTTATTTTAACTAGGTGAACATTTTATAAGCAATTTTCTTGGTAAAAAGTTGGATTCAATGATACAAAAACTTGCAACTTCGGATGAAATATTAGAATTATTAAAAGAGAAAAAACAGGAAGTACAAAAAAGTATTATGGCTGCATTTGAAGCAGACATCCAAGCAGCTGCACAATTGGACCAAAAAAATTTTTCGATTCCCGATCATGTCTTGATATGCGTCGAAGACGAACATATAAAAAAGTATTCAAAAGATGCTGTACACCAAACGGATAAAAAGATTGAAGAACTAAAAAACACTTATTTAGAGGTACACTTACTTAATATTATATATGTACATAATTTTGTTTATGTGAAATATACTTTGTTTAGAATGCTATGATGATTGAATCATTTAAAACTGAATATAGCCAATATGAGGCCATTGAAGCCTTTGTAAATGATGAGTTGAATATTCAAAAAGAAGTACAAGACAGTTTTGCAACAGTTAATTTGGAATTGGGTGAAATTGAACAGTTATCAAAGCAAATTGATAAATTTATCCAACCTTAAATCTAATAATTCTAACTACACAAATATATCACTTAAATATGCGGTGAACAAAATGTGATCAACATATCATTGTTTTTAATTAAAAATGAATTCATTTCTGTCAACAAAAATATAACAAATTAAATAAAAAACGTTTAATGGAAAGCAGTGTGTTCAAAAATTAAATTGTTAATTAAAGGATATCAAAAGATAACGGTGAGTCGCATACAATAGTTTATACAATAATGCAAATATTCATAAGTCTTATAACTTTATATTTTAGTTAAATGATCAACTTCAACACAAGTATATTATTTTAAATATATTTCATTAATTTGAGAATAATGTGGCAGAGTATAGTGTTCAACAGTAGATACTTAATTATGCGACTTGACAAAGATATTATCAGTTCAATAAAATAATATATTAATATGTGTCATTTACATAACAATATGTTAGTATTGTAATAATTTAAAGTACTAAGTACTTAAAAAATTATTTTAAACTAATCTCGACTAAATATTACCTAATACTTTGTCATATAAACAATTTCTTAACGATATGATATGATGGTATATATATTGGAAAATATTATCAATTAAGCAAGACCTCAAAAAAAAGACTCTCTAAATAAATCGAAAAATATTTTCGATAATATGCTTAAGATTTTAATATCTCAAATTTTTAATAAACTTTAGAAAGAGAAACTTTTAGAAAGAGCCTTATACTTATATATCTACAGGCATTATTAAAGAAGGCAAAAATATATATTTGTTACAGAGATAAGTATGTACATAAATCTAAATGTTAGAATAGATAAGTATTATGTACTCAATATCTTCAATAGTTATTAACCGACTAATAAGTAGTATAAGGAGTTTATCACTAAATTATTTATGAAAAAATTATATATATAAAGAATTTTATGTTACTTCTTTTTGAAATGTTAACTGATGAAATATACTTCCTCAAGAAGTAGCAAGAAGCCCTCCGTCAATGATTATGGTTAAGTGCAGGCATGGATTTCAACGTATATTTTTTTCTTCTCCAATTAACAAATTTTTAACTGCGTATCTACTTCACTCCATTGAGTTCCCAGGGGAATATTGGAAATTTAACTGCATGTATTTTAATTAATCAAAATAGACTTTTACATTAACATTAATTTTTGTTCCAAATATATAGTTATAGTTCGTTCTTTTTATAATTACAACTCATTATAGCTCTGAAGTCTACACATAATTTGCTTCTAATTTATACTATATATGTTTAATATAAAATCATATTTGAGTAATTCTCTTATATATTATGTGATCTTTCTTTTCTTTTATTTCGTTTGATATAAAGTCAATTAGAAGTGACTTATTTCTACTTTTATTTCTTTATTCTACTTTAATAAATTTTTAAATACATTTTTCTAGAGTGATGATACGACACCATCACTCTATTTGTCGTTTTGATTGAAAGTCAGATTTTAATTCAATTATTAATAGACACAAAGCAAATTAAATAGTAAGGAAACCCTTTACAGAACACATTTTATTTTATTGTAATTTAATGCTTTAAGATTGTTATTTTATTTCTAATACCGGTTGTTATTTCAATTGTTTTGGGAACGTTCTTGATCTGAAAGTTTTTTTAAATTAATTTATCAATAGACACCACACATGTTATTCCAGTATATATTTAAAGCTGTTTTAGCTATTAATTTTATATTAAAAAAATAGAGTTAAAATCATTTTTACAGACGTTTTTTGCTATTTAGTTGTTGTTGTTGTTGTTGTAGCCCGCCGGGACCTGCTTGTGTAGTCCCTTTGCTATTTAGTCATATACGATGATTTAAGTCTCATGTTTAGTAAAGTTGCTCTGTTAAATTTTTCCCTCTTATTCCTCTTATTATTTGTATTATTTTGCATATAAAAGTTCTATTTGTACAATAGTATGTAAAATTTCTTATAATTTTATATACGATAGAAACATATAAAATGAATGTCTATTTTTATTAGTTATATTTTATTCACTGCGTCTTAAATTCACATCGGGCGCTGGCGTTCCCAGATTTCCAAGGATTTTTCAAGTGTAGTCGAAGGCCATAGTTATTAAGTAACCTATTTAACTATCTTTAGAACCTAGTATTCTGAGAAAAATATCATTTTATACAATACAACTTTAGTTGCAGAATATACACCATAGCATCTCACGTCAATATATCTCTCAATTTTTGTATTTTAGACCACTTTATCATTATCAATTTATCATTAGTAAATTTAACATTATCGCTGTATTTTTATTTTTCTCCTGAAAAATTATGAAAGTATGTATATGTTTCTGCAGCTCGCGATCATATCTAGTCTAGATGGCCATGATTTAGATCATCAACTATTCGTTGCTGTCTGTTTCTTTACAAGAAGCATATTGTTAATATATATAGGAATGTGTCATATAGAGCTTAAAATTAGGGATTGGTGTTAAATAAATTATAAGATAGACTCTGACATCAACACTTTTAACGCTAAAATAGCTAAATAATTCGCTTTATGTTTGAGTTTGACGAGTGAATTTGTGGTTGATACCAATAGTGGTCTGTCCCGCAGCTGATGAGGTTCACTTTGTTATTGGAAATCAATCTATTTGTAACATATAATTATAGATATTTGAAAAATGGTTTTCTTTTTTTCAAATGCAATTTTTACGAATCTACTGATCATAATATAAATCTAGAAGACCAAAAAGTTGTAAAAGAACAATGGCATTAAGATTACTTATAAAATGACATCGTTTTATATTCTCATAACAGAGACTTTATGCTAGATATAGGATGATAGAATTATATACCTGCAATGATCGGTTCAGGTTTGCATTGCTACATAACTCTGTAGCTTTACTTTAAGTTATCTAATGGGAACCAGTTAGTCAATTCTTTATAAATCTGTGTGAAGATATTTAAGGTTCTACAAATCCAATATTTTTTCCTTCCTTTGTTTATTAAAATATTTCCATCTTTTCCTACTGTTTATTAGTCACTTGATTTCATTTCAAATAGTATTGGCGACAAGACACATCCTTGTCCTACACCAGTCTGCGATTCAAAGTCTTCCGATAGTAGGCTATTGTGTTGAATTCGATATAAGTAATTATCATAATGTGCTTAGCTAAATTTAAATCTGAATTTGCTTTTTTATTTTATTGAATGCAATAATGGAATTATAAAATCTTAAAAATTTTTTTCCTTAATATTTTTATTCCAATGAATGATATTTAATATATGAAATAATTTGCTGATATTTGCAGAAATATTTTGATCTGGCCACCATCGAGCATCGACCATTAAGCGATTTTGCTGAATTGATCTAAAACATTTATTTGTTTATTTAAAAAACCATATTTCGCAGTGTGTTTATAAATAAAACATAAACACATTTTTACATATATATACTCCTATATGTATAGATCTATTGCATGCGAAAGTTTGCCGTTGCAAGCCGATTACTATTTTAAAAAGAATTTCGCTACACTTGTGTGCTCTTCAGCCCCCAAGATCGAATCATTCGCACTGAGGACGTTGAATAGAACAGAATAGTTCGTTCGGTGTGTCTATATTCGCGACACTTGGTTTCGTCGCTGAGATATTTTTAATTTTAAGTATCTGTGAGGCGGTTTACTTTTGTTTTTTATTGCAATAAGGAATTTTGCGATATTAATATCTTCGTCGTATGCACAGTGCAAATAGTGGCCATTTTGTCACGGAGTTGTACGAAAAAATTTAAGTGAGTTTAACAGGTAATTTATGTAATTTCAAATTATGCTTCTTAATTATATTTCTTAATATATATTTTTTTGATTATTATAGGTCACAAAATGAATGCAGAAAAATTAAAACGTTTACAGGAGCAAGTGCGCATAGGTGGTAAGGGTACTGCTCGTCGTAAGAAGAAGGTTACGCATCAGCCTAACGTAAGCGATGATAAGAAAATGCAAACATCATTGAAAAAAATTGGTATGACTAATATACCTGGTATAGAAGAGGTGAACATTATAAAGGATGATTTGACGGTCATCAATTTTAAAAATCCAAAAGTTCAAGCATCAATTTCGGCAAATACATTCGCAATGACTGGTCATAATGAACCGAAGAAAGTGATGGACTTGTTACCGGATATATTACCTCAGTTGGGCCAAGAAACTGTTATGCAGTTACGCATGTATGCAAATGCCATGGTAGATTCTCACAAACAATTAGGTGCTACCGATAATGGTTCGCTTGATGATGATGTACCAATGTTAGTAGAGGATTTTGATGAAGTTGCTAGAGGTGAATCTGAAAAGATTTCGACACGAGCTCAACTTATTCAAAAAACTGAAAAAAATGACAAAAAAGAAGAAAAAATCCAGGTTGCTTCAGAAATAAAATCAATAGTTGATGACAACAATGTTCTGGTGACCGAACAAGTAAATATGGCTAATGTACAACAAACGTTATTAGAAGAAAGTCAGAATCAGAATAAAAATGTTGGTACTTCGAAACCAAAAGAAACGAAGAAAAATAAAAAGTCAATTAAGCAAAATAAATCTGAAACTAATGTTAAACCTGAGCTTGCAATGCCTTCCGAATTGAAAAAAGAAAAATCAAAAGAAGAAATTAATAAAACTGCAGATTTGGTAAAGGAAGTAATTACTGAAAAAGTAGATATAACTTCCGAATTAAAAAATCAAAAACCAATTGAAATTGTCACAACTGAAGATAATACAAATGTAATGACTACTAAAAATGAAGATAAAACTTCTGAGATGAAGGAAGAGATTGTTGCAAACGCCGATGAAACTTCGACAAATAATAATCAAACCCCAATTGAAGCTGTTACAATTAAACCTCCCTTAAAAGAAGTCATCGCCAAATCAGAAGACAATATTTTAGATATTAAAAAGCAAGAATCAATAGAAGCTATTGCAGTTAGTGATTCCAAAAAAGAGGAGTTTACTGATAAAGAAGACAATACTTCAAAAATTAAAAGTCAAGAGCCAATAATTGTAGAGAAAAAAGAAAAAATTGAAAAAAATCAAAAATCAAAAAAATCGAATGCCACTAAGGATGCCCCAAAAGAGTCAACTACTAAGAAAGTAGATAAAGCTTCAAAAAGTAAAAATCGAAAACCAACTGAATCTGGCACAGTTAAAGAAACTAAAACCGAAGTGATTACTGAACAGGTTCCCGAAATTGAAAATGCAAATGAAAATGCAACCACTACGATTGAGAATGCCACAAAAGTAGTGATTACAGAAAAAGATGCTAATATTTCTGATTTACAAAAGTTGAAACCAAATGAAATAGCTCCAGTTGATAATACCATTAATAAAGTGATTACCGAGAAAGGAGATGAAACTGCTATGATTCAAAATTTAGAACCAAATAACATTGCTAAAGCAGAAGAAACGACAAAAAAAGTTGTACTAAAGACAGAAATTTCGAAAGATAATAAGCAACCAACAGAAAAGATAAAAGAAGCTGACATGATTAAGGATGGTAAGCAAGTGGAGATAGCAAAAGACGAAAAAGTAAAAGACTCTACAGCTACAGTAGAAGAGCCGAAAACGATCATAGATCTTCAGGAAGCGCAACAAAAAGACAAAATCATTGAATTAAGTTCAATTCCAGAAGTGATTAATGTTCAAACAAACAATGACACTTCTGTGAAGAATGAAAAGTTATCTTCAATTGCTCCAGTAGAAGCATCTTTAGGTGCTGCAGATAATAAAAGCGAAGAAACTAAATTAGAGTTGGTGCAAACTAATAATGATAAACTAAAAGAAACTGTAAAGCCAATTGAACCAGAGCAGAAACAGTTAGATGTTGAAAAACCTGTTGATATAAAAGCAGAAGTTAAAAGTGAAGCTACCATTGAAGTGAAGCCACCACAAGAAAAAACTGTAGAAGGGCCACCTGAGACCATAGCTGTTGTTCAGGAAGAAATTATAGCAGAAGGGTTAGTTAATAAATTAGAAATTCAAGCGGAAAACTCTTCCAGTAATGTTGAAGCGCAAGTTGAAAAAAAGGTTGAAACAAAATTAGAAGTGCAACCTGAAAAATCTAATGATAAATCGAATACAACAGAAACAATTGTTGAGGTTATTCCAGAAAAATCTATTACTAAAGCTGAAATTCAACAAAAGCTACCTGCTGAAACATATGCCGCTGCTTTAAAATCAGCAGAGTTTCAAGATATGAAAACTGCTGTACAACCTACTGAAGAACCACAAAGTGCAGGTAATTTAATATTAACTCAAGAATCTACAATTAAAAGTTCTGCAGAAATGCCTAACATTGATAAGATTGATACACCTCCCACAGTTGAGCCTGCAGTAATGTGTAAAGTGGAAACAGCAGAAGATCCAAGTAAGTCTAAGGCAGTCGAAGATAAATTGATAGATGCCGCAATTAATGTAACTTCTGCTGTAGCATCTGAAAATAAAAATAAAAGCACAAGCGCAGAAAAAGAAATAATCACTTCTAAAGCAGCTGAAGATATTGTAGTTGATGCTGCAAGCGTTCAAATGGTTACCAAAGTTGCTGAAGATAAAGTAGCTGATAATACAAAATCTAAAACCATAACTGACACTAGTGCAAAAAAACCTCAAAAAAATGCAGAGGCTAAATCAGGTGTCAATAAAAATTCACCTACAAATGCGAGTAATAAACCTAAAGTTGCGGTGAAGAAGACGGAAACAAATAAGCCCGTTTCCACTGACGTTAAGAAAAACAACCAAAAGATACAAAAACCACAACCACAACCGCAAACACAAAATAAAAATGTTAATACAACTGCCAAACCTCAAGCAACAAAACCGAATGTAATTGCAAATAAATCTCAAGAAAAACCAACTGAAGTGACAAACCCACCACCAACTAAAACAACTACAACCTCAGATGTTGCAACTATAGCGCCAGCAAAACAAGATAGTAAGCCTACCTCATCGGAGACTGAATCAAGCTCGAAACCCAAGCCTAAAGCAAACCCAATGTCGAAAGCAGTATCACCTAAAGCCACTTCACCAGATACAACTGATTCAAAAAACAAAACTGTTAACGCAAGACGGTCACCGGATATTACAAGAAGTCAAAGTAATGCCGGTAAACCAAAGCAAACAGTTCCCAAACCCGTTGCCAGCACACCAAATATAGGCACTACTTCAACTTCGAATAAAACTGCAAGTGCTAAGCCTGCGAACGCACCAAAAACCACAAAGCCGAAGCAACCAAAATCAAGTGGACCCAACAACGCTGCCCCTAAGAAGTAGACTGTCAGCGGCTTTGATAACTACAATAATACAAACATAACGCAACTTGAATAAATTATTTGCAGACTTAATTTTGTTTATTGCATTTTCTTAACACATATAAAATTAATTGTTTATTACCACTCAAGAATAATATAATTTGAGTTTATTTTTAATCTATCTCCGCTACTAACATTAACCAGTGCCGAAATTATGCGTTTGATTTGAAAAAAATTAATGATTTTGTTAAATTAATCAACCATAAAAACTAATTTCACGGATTTCAAAATGAAAATTCACTGAATTTTCGGTAGTAAAATAAATGTAGAACGACATTTACCTAATAATTATATTTGATAATTTTTTTAAATAAAATTCATGGTTGAAAAAAACTACGTTTAAGTTGCAATTTTTTATGATTTTTAAATGAAGTCCAGATAACATTCGATAATAACAATGAGAAAACAGTTTCGGTCTTAATTAGTTAAGTTTGAATATTTGAAACTGAGTTTTAATGGAAATTATACTCGTAAATGGAGGCCAATACTTAATTGATGTATATTTCAATTATTTATATAACAAAGGACATAAAGGAAGATAAGTAGCGGTGGAGAGCGCAACAAAACCAGTCAGTAAGTTTAAATCTCTACAATCTCTACGCTTACCATATAATTTATAATAAAATTTTTTTTTTTATTTTATTTCTTTTATTATTTTATTTTTTATTTAATTTTTTTTTTATTTATTTTTTTTATGTTTTATGTATATATGTTTTTTATTTTATTTATTATTTTTATTTTATTTATTAATTTTTTTTTATTATATCTTTTTTTTTATTTTATTTATTTAATTTTTTTATTTTATTTATTATTTTTATTTTATTTATTAATTTTTTTTTTATTATAAATTTTTTTTTATTTTATTTATTTAATTTTTTTATTTTTATTTATTTTTTATTTTATATTTTTTTTTATTTTATATTTTTTATTTCATTTTTCTGTTTTATATTTTATTTTTATGTGATTGATAAACTTAAAAGGACGCTAATTATATCATATATATTTAATATATATTATATTTTTAATATATAATTATTATATTATATTTAGTATTTATGATATTTAATTAATTATATACAATTTTTTATTATTTAACAAATGTAATAATTATAATTTAATCGTTAAAATTATTGGTTATATGACAAAAAAATCTAGGCATTGTGGAATGCTATCTAAAACAGTTGTATTGGAAAAACCGAAAAACGTTTTTATTAAATTAAATCAAGATTTTAAATTGTTAGTTAAAATTAATTTTTATAGTTAATCAAACTTAAAATGAACTATGATTCAATTTTCTAAATACATAGTTACATAATGGACAAAATACAAAATAATTAGATTTCGATCTAGAACTGCGTCTCAGCCGCTGGTTTGTGGCTTTGAAATACCAGCAGTCCTAAACATATAATAATTGTTCCAATGAGTATTTTAAAATGAACTTATTTTTATAAGTTATATGTCCAAAATATATAACATTTGTATTAAAATCTAGTACGATATTATTTTTTAGATAAATATTGGTGTATTTCCTTTATAAAAAGCTTGAATACTTTTAAGATCCACAGTAAGTTTTAAGATTAGAAACACTAATTTAGTATATATGAAGTAGTTTATTAGTAGTAAACTAATTTTTACTATACTAATTTTACATAATCTTTTTTGACACTGTTTGTCAGAGATTGTGGTGAAGGGCCCGCAGGACATGATGATGTATACGATATATGTATATTCCTAATTAAAAAGTCATATTCAGCTTACATATATACACTATATATATGTATAATTAAAATTTCTACAAGTATAACATAATGAATAAATTTAGTAATATGAGGGGGAAATTTTTTTAACCAATATAGGACAGACCAATCGAAAAATTGATTGGCTATAAAAGCTAAAAAAAAACATACTTTAAGGAAGAGCTATGATGAAATATGTTACGCCTTACTAAAGTGGAATCTCTAAGGAACCGGGAGGAGGGGCCGACCAAAAACGATCATATATACCGAAACTGTTAAAACCTTCAATGAACTACGGCATTTAGCCAGAGACGACTGGAGATTCTATGTGAGTCGTCTATGTTCCTCATGGAATACGACTTATATATATGAATTTATATATATACATGAATATATATTTTATTAATTATAAATTATCCTCATATTAGTCTCTTTTAGAATAGATTGGAATTGGTTTCTAATTTAAAATACAAGACATTATTATATATAATAAATCTTAAAATTGCAATTACGTATATTATTTCAGAATCAAACTACAATATTGTTACATCTAAGAATCGTACACATCTTTGTCATCTACAAACACTTATTCTTAGGTAGCTGTCATAAACCCTATAGCTTCTGTGGTAGTTCCATATCATCTCATACCATATGACTCTTGTGGGGGTTTGTTTAATCAGAGCCAATTTCAATAGCCCTTTTCATCGAATGGCTCCGTTTTCTTAAACATTGAATGCGTTTAGAAATTTTTGTCAGAAAATCGATGTGTGAATTTCATTTAGAATATTTTTCGCTTGATTTTTTCCTTAATAATAATATCTATTTTCTCTTATTCTATCTATCTTATGATTTATATATGTTATAGCAATTCTAAAAACCATATGTTAATATTAATATATATTTTTTTTATTTCTTATGTTGTAACTGGTAACTTTTCTTTTAATTTTAACATTTCCTTATAACAAGTATTAGAACATCTTGAGGGTCTCCGCAGCCTCTACTTTTCTGTTCCTTAATTAAAATATTTTTCTTACACCTATGTTACAAATTAATAAATAAACAAATAAATTTTATAGTATATGCATTATCTATTATTTATTTAATTTTTACGAAAATGTAAGTAACAAACGATGTAAGATAGCTAGCTGCACATTTGTTGTTACTATGGGTAATCGCAATCAATTCATATATATTTGTATATATATTTTATATTTTATATATTTGTAATATGTACTTTAATAACATATTTAAATTAAAATTTTTTACTATAATAATACTATAATACAGAATTGATTTTACGTTGATATTGATGAATGAATGCTAATACTGATGTAAATAGAAATGATTAAATTTGACGAACAGAATGAGATAATTATAGAAGATGAGTAATTATGAATAAGTTTATAGAAAATATAAAATATATATCTATAAAGATATATTAAGAAATTTTCTATAATTACTATTATTATATCGGACAATAGTATTCTCTCCGTCTTGATTCAGACTAACTTTAATTAAAATACCATCCATCCTTAATCCATTTTTGTTCTTATATAATTTCCTCTCCTTTCATACTTCCTTTACCTAACCATTGCACCCATCTATATGTATTTTTAATTCTTTTCATGTTATCATATAAATATCCAGCGGTCACCACAACAGTTTACTGTTATCTTTGCTGTCTATTGCACTATTCCTGTGTAAAATCTAAAAACATAATTTGTTTCCAGACTCCATACTTAATTCGGAACTTCTACATAATCAGAAGTCTATTATCTACAATATTTTTATATTATGTCTACACTTTGTGATACATATATTATACTGTTTTCGTAATAAATTTTCTTAATTTAATTCTTTAGTTTACCTAATTGATTTTGAAGTCCCAATTTTAGTTTTGGAATTCTTCTTGAATACTATACAAAAGCTACAAGTTGCTCAAAGTCAGGCTCTCCGAAGACTCTTCAAAATGCCTTGGTATATCCGCACAAACGACATGCTAAGATACCTTAGAATAGACCCGATCAAAAAATACATAAGAGACAGAGCCCTGAAGTTACATGCGAAAACTGACAGGCTATCCTACTTAGCACTATCTAATCTTAGAGTAATCACTCACCGCACGGGGAGGTACGCAGATCTTAGATTAATCACTGAATAATCATGAAGCTTATAAGGAATACATAAATTAGTCAATGAGATTGGTGGGACCCTTTAGTACCCCCAGCTATCAATGAGTAAAAGTATCCAGTTGCGCTGACTCGAAAAAAGGATCAACATTACTGTAGGCCATGTGATTACATCATAATTTTTATAGCACCTATTGCGTTTGGTTTCCCTCTTCAGAGAAACTATTGCTAAGCGGCACTTTGTCATTATATACCAGTGGCACAGGATTGTAGACTTATACTTCTAGAATCTTTGATGAAGTAGTGGTTATTTTTATAATTATTAACTATCGATAAAAATTTAATAACATTTTAAACTTTGGGTATTTACCACACATAATTAAATCTGATTTAAAACTTTTTTGTTTTGTCACAAAATGATCCACTTGGAAAATAAGAGAACCTTAATCAGTTGGTATGGGCTGTCATTGGCATCTATGTTTCTGTATCTGTAAAACTTTTCTGTTGCGTCGCAAACGATCAACTTCATACGAAATAAGAGAATCTTATTCAGTTGTTATGGACTGTCATTGGCATATTTATATCTATATATGTAAAATTTTTCTGTTGTGTCACAAAATGGTTCACTTAATGGGAAATAAGAAAATCTTACTCAGTTGGTATGGGCTGTTATTGGCATCTATATAGCTGTATCTATAAAACTTTTCTGTTGCGTTGACAAAGGTTCCACTTCATGGGAAATAAGATAACCTCATTCGGTTTGTATGGACTGTCATTGGCATCTATGTATCTCTATTTGTAAAACTTTTCTGTTTCTGTTGCGTCACAAAGGGTCCACATGGGAAATAAGAGAACCTTACTCAGTTGGTATGACCTGTCATCGACATATAGCATCTCTATATCTATAGTAATGATATTTTAGCACTATTTCTGACTTTTTTAAATTTATAAAACTACCTACATTTTGTATAGACAATATAAATGTGTATGTATCTATAAACTAATAACTGTTCAATAATTATAAAAAAAGCACAGAACTATTATTTGTAACAAATTGTACTATTTTATTTATACAAAGTTCACCATTAAATATAATAATTTATGCGTTTTCCAAACCGATTTGAGCATATTTGCGTAGACGCTTATAATTATTCCAACGAAATGACGTAATTATTATGTATATTGTTTATATTTTTATTTTTTGTTCACTGGTTCTTTTTCTTCTTGAGCTGGTTCAATAGCTTTATCATTTGTATTTTCAGTGTCGGGGTTTAGTTGAAAAATAGAGAAATTTAACAGTGAAGCAAAACTTAACCACGCAACGTATGGAATGAATATATAGCCGGCAACTTTATTCACGGAATAAAATAATGCGCCACAAGCCGTTGCAGTCGCCGTCAGAGCAACAATATCGATAAGGCCCTATACAATAAAACCATAAAAATTAAACTTAATCACTGTTTTTATCTACTTTTATCTTTATAATCTATGAATCACTTACGCCCTTTATGTTACGTTGTCCGAAAAAGATTGGTGTCCATGCCCAGTTCAATGCCAATTGCGTACCATAAGCAAGTAGTGGTAATTTCGCATCGCCAGTGAAACCGCCACCGTCTCGCCAAACTAGGTAAGACGCATATCCCATACCGGAATAGAGCGAAGTCCAAACTGGTGCAAATACCCAATTTGGTGGTCGATACGCTGGAAACTTAAGATTTTTATACCAGTTTTGTAGGTTGTTTCTTGTTATTTGGCCATTGACAAATCCACCTAAATTAGGTAGTATCATTGCACCAGCTATTTTCCAATATTCATTCATTTTACTATATGAAGAAAAAAAATATTTAATCACTTAATCCGCACTGTGCGACTGCTTCCAAAGTACTGACGGCCGGCTTATGTCAGTTTTTGTTTTCGGTTTTCGCTATTTTTGCTATCAGGTAGTCAAGTGTCAAAAGCGCTCAAAGAGAATTTCATCAACCATAAATTAATTGCGAGTATCTGGACGAATTTAACTCAATGGAAGTGAATTTTTAATGCATTTTGGAATAAAATTGCAAATGTGTTTAAAAATAATACTACTACATTTTTAGCGCAATTAAAAGTCATTTATTTACAGTATTAAACAATATCTTTGATTGTTTTAGATAACACTCTCTCGAAAATGTCTAGCAAAACATTTGAATAGTACATCGTACTCACAACAACAGTGGCGGATTTAAGGGGATGAAAACTACTTCATTTCGAATTACTGAAATTCAGAAGTCAGAATATATTGTTGTTTGAAATCAAGGCAAAACGCTGATATAATTAAAAATGAACCCACAAATAATAAATATTACTATGATTATATTCAAAGTTTCATCCATATAGTCCGCTATATTATCTTCTTTATTTCATGAGCTTCTTTCTAGTCTAGCATGGGGACTTCAGAACTTCCATAAGTTGTGTTCTATCCGGAGTTAAAATAAATATACATTCCATATAAAGTTTACTGATGTGAGTTTCGTCGTTAAATGTTTTTTTTTTCAATTTTGGATGTGACATCAAATCGACAGGTATCTGTAGATTTTATTTGAAGACATATCTGGCAACGTAATAGTTTAGTTGTTGGAACATGTAACCGATAACTGGCAATTTCTTTCGATTCTTTATTTCTAAAAATTTCGTCTATCTCCATAATACATTGTTAGTAATGCATATTAATCGCAAGATTATAAAAATCTGTCTAACTTACTATCTAATGAGGAATAGAATACGGAATTAGACTGATTTAATGTATTTCTTAGTCGAAGTTATGTTGCGACTTATATATATATGTTTGAATCTCGGGATGTTCTTAAGTTAACCTTAACCAGATTTTGGCTTATTTACTCAAGATGAAATATCTTGAATAACCCTTATTTTGGAACTTATTTGATTCTTCTTCTTCTCCTTTTTTTTACCAAATCGATTTTAAATATAAGCGATCATATAATACAATAAATATTTTGCTTAAATAATTTTTTTTTTTGACTTTATATCCAAATATTTCGAACTTTGAATATGATTTCTATATATCATAGATTGAAAGGAAACAGAAAATGATTGAAAACAACAGAATATTAAGTGCGTTTGGCTATCGCACTCTCTGATGCCATCGCGAATGTAGATGGAATGTGACATTGTCTATAGATTTATTTAAATTTAGTTATTAGAGTGTTCCATGTTATCTTTTCAGTTATATTGGTTAAGTTGCTTGAAAGACTTGTTCTAATATATTTCAGATTAGGAAATCTAAAAATGTGATTGTGATGAAGTGTCGAAACCCCTCACTTATAGTTGTCACCTAACAATTCTATAAAAGTGGTGTCATTAGTTCAATAATATATTAAAACTAATGATCCAAAAAAAATCTAATCTTATAACTAATTGCAGAGGATTTCAGATTTATTTCGAACTCATTTATCACCGACGACCAAGTATCTTGGTATTTTGGTAACTTGACACACCAAAATTCGTGTCAAGTTTCATTGCTCGCCAAAAGATTGGACGAAGAAGTCTTTTTCAAGATCTGACTACTAACCAGATAACAACAACAACAATTATTGTAATACTCATAGTTATTATTTTATTTAACATTATTGAAGTCACATTTTATACTAATGTCTTAATTTATAAAACTAAAAACTCAAAGTTTGGGAACAAGTCGGTAAGATCCAACATTTAATAGATACTAATAGATATTTTTAGCAAAAGAGAATATAGTTCATTCTAAAATCAAACAATTGTTCTTTCGATTATCCAAAGACTAAAATTAAACATAAATTCGCTGGACGGTATTATAAAGATGTCAGAGTTTATATATCTGTATGAACTCCGTCAGTTATCATTCCATGTAGAACAAGAAAAAGAGACCTTTCATTAAAATACTATGAAAAAAATTAAGTGGTTATACTATTTGCTGTGGATTTTTATGGTTTCCATGGTAATATAAATTGTTTGGCTTTTTCGTCCTTTTTGTATAAATACAAACACAAATTAAAAAATATTTTTATTTAATTTATGCAGTTTTTGAAATGACACTTTATTTCGATACTAAAGTAGAATTCTTGGATTCAGATGCTGTTAGCACTATAGCATGTTGGCATCAGTGTGAACCTCTATTCGCTGTAGCCTCTTACAGTCAAGAACGTGGAGGTTCCGTAACTATATTTTCCGATTCTGTAAGTAAATATTTATTATTTAAATTATTTTAAATAACTTTAAAATTTTATATATTTTTAATAGGGTGAACCACAACGTGATGTCACTTATCCAGTACATCCAACATCACAAGCATCTGCATTAGCATGGCATCCAGAGAAATTGCTATTAGCATCGGGTTGGGAAAATGGTGATATACATGTTTGGTTTGCGGGACATCGTGAATTCGCTAGTGTGTATGGTCCACATAAAGCGCCTATTATATTGCTGGAGTTTAGTGAACAGGGTGGCAGAATGGTAACTGGAGATGCTATGGGTCTACTAACTGGTTGGCGTTGTGATGGACAATATCAATTCTTGACTATGTTCTCACATGATTTGCGTGATATCTTATTGCATGTTACTTTTCGGAGGACGATCGAGAGTGAAGTGCGTGAGGAAATGATAAATTTAGCTAAGGCCGCAGTAGCGGGCGATGAGAATGCTCTGGACACTCTCACTAATTGGCGACCACGTACAGCTGCTCGGAATTTAACACATGCTGTTGTTAAAGACAATCATTGTTTCTATGTTGGCACACAAAAAGGAGTAATGTATTATATTAATCAAGCTGGCACATGTACTGAAGTGATACATAGTAAATATTTTTTATTATTAGAGTAGAGAAGATTTTACTTAATCATCTATTTTATAGAAACGAGTTCTGTACCGCGGATTATGCAAATTTTATGGCATCCTAAAAAGTGAGTTGAAAATTATTGATCTTAAATGGTGACTTCTGTTCCATTATATGGTTTTATGTGCCTACGTATATTTTTTCTGTAATTCTAATACTAAATTCTTCTTATGTATATTAACATAGTTCACATATTTTTTATTTGAATAGAGATGCGGTTATATGTTTGATGGATGATATGACTGTCACCTTGTACTTAGTTGAGTCTACTGGTATACTTACAGAGTTAGATCGAGTTAAAATGAGTAGCCGTGTAGCTGGAAAGTATGGTGCCATAAGTTGGGCTGGTAATAGCTTAGCAATTATTACAGGTAAACTGTTGTACAAATATAATATATATTGACTTTTAAATATTATATACTTATCTAAATTTTTTGACGTTTTTGTGGTAGGAGATTTTACAGTTCGTATATGGGATATAGAAAAGAGTGATAACTATCTGCTTAAAATGGATTTACCCACTTCATCATCTTCGACGGATTTAAACAGCAGCACAAAATCTGATTTATTTAGTCCTGATATGGAGAGTTCTTCTTCACATTTGGGTGCGATTTTTTCTAATAATAGAAAGCACCCAAAAACACCGCAAACAAGTAATGAAGCATTTACTTGTATAGCTTATAGTTCGGGTAGTCAAACAATATGCGCTGGGACTAATCATGGTAATGTCTACACTTGGCGTCGTAGTGTTAATTATTTTACAAATAACCCAGAAGACAGCTGGCAATTGACCAATATATCCACAGTAAGAGGCGCTGTAAAAGAATGTTTTTGGGGTTTTAATGAACTAGCCAAACCATGTATGCTTATCAATTGTGTGTCTAATGTATTTGTACTTAAGGTATATATTTATTCTACCAAATTTTTTTTTCATTTTACTTTATAAAATTTGTTTTCTCAATAATATAGGAGCAACCTCTTTTGTCGTATCATACACGAGACCTTTGGGCTATACAACGTAATGCTAAAACCATTTTTTTGGAGCATTCAAGTGGGAAGAATTGCACAGTGCAGTCGGAGTTTGTTATCACTGCTCTGGCATTAAGTCAAATTTATTTAATTATTAGTAATGGACGTACCATATCTACATATAGTATTGAGAAAATTGAAAAACCCGATGAATACGCTGATGACATTGATAGCGTCACTACTGAAACAGCAAGTAGTGCGAAGAATACTCCTTTGACGGTGAAACTGATGCAAACTTTTAATGCGGAATGTATAATAATTTTCATACAGAATCAAAATATATTTTGTCTTACATCCAGTGATGTTGTTATATATTCTATTGGAGGAGTCGTCTTGAATAAACTACAAGGAAATGATAATGAAGGTTGGTAGTAAAAAGAATTAAAAAAATCTAACAAAGAAAACACATACAAAAATAACAGGTAAAATTATTGGTATGGACCTCACCGGCAGCTATTTAAGTACTTTCACAATGAATGGTTTCATTAAATGTTACGATGTTTCACGACATGACCCGAAACTTTTATTTCCCGGTAAATCAGGTTATGATTTCTTAGATGATTTTGGAGAATTTATTATAGTTAAATGTAATAGTATTGGAACGCATTTAGCGATAATAATAGCAAATAGAAGTTTTGCACCGAAACCAATTTTATACTGTTGGGATTTTGAGAGAAATAATTTGATGTCCTATGCTTTAGCAAATGGTATAGACGAAAATAAATCCAGGTATCGTATTGGATCCCATGCATCTTATTATAATTTGTTATTTTTAATATAAAATATTTTACAGTTTACCTTTAAGTGTTTTTTGGGACACTGATGAAGCGCGCCTATTGGCTATAGAAATAAAGACCGTTGAACAGAAAAAATACCGAGATACCGCGACAAACCGAAATATATATTCACCGAATGAAAAAAGTGGTTATCGTAGCCATTGTATTGAATCGCAAGTTCTTGTAATGTTCTACACCGAGCAAGGAAAACTTAACATTTTGGAAGCGCGTGCTTTAGCATCGGGAGAACAACTTATTAACCTTTGTGTACCGCATGTGGTATTTATAAGAATTATACATTTATTGCTGAGTCATTAAATTTTCTTGATTATGTAGATTTCGTTGGATATAAATCTAGTTAAGAGTAAGCCATTGCAGGATTTTATTGATTTAAAAAATTGCGATGCGAATACCAGGAAACTTGTGTTGAACTTTAGTTTACATGTAGCAGAAGGTAATATGGATTTAGCATACCGGTGTATACGTTCAATACAGTCTAAAACGATATGGACCAATTTGGCTAAGATGTGTGTAAAAACAAGCCGTTTGGATGTATCATTGGTATGCTTGGGACATTTAGAAATGGCACGCTCAGTACGTGCAGTGCGACAAGCAATGGAAGATAATGATTTAGAACAAGAAGCTAAACTTGCCGTATTAGCTATAGAGCTTGGCATGTACGACAAGGCGCAGGAGTTGTACAAAAGTTGTGGACGAATGGATTTGCTTAACAAGCTATTACGATACAGTGGACAAATAAATGAGGTTACATCTCAAAATATTTTTATTTTATTTTATATTATAAGCATTACATTTTATTTGTAAGGCCTTAAAATTAGCTGAAACAGTGGATCGTATACATTTAAAGAACACCTATTATTATAAAGCGCAAATTTTGAAGGAAAGCGGTGACATCAAAGGCGCTATAGAATATTTTGAAAAAACACAAAATCCAGTACAAAATATTACACAAATGTTGTTAGAAGATCCATTGGCGTTGAAAGTAAAAACGTTTATTTAATTTATATATATAATTTAATTAATTTTTATAACAATTAATTTTAGCGTTATATGCAGAATACCACTGATCCTAAGATGCTTAAATGGTGGGGTCAATATGTAGAGAGTTCTGGAGATATGGATGCTGCTTTAGCTATTTATCAAAAAGCTGAGGATTGGTTTTCGCAGGTATATCTTACAATAATAAAAATAAATATATTGTAAAACATTTTCAAAATTTATATAGGTGAAAATTCTCTGCTATTTGGGTAAAATTTCTAAAGCCGATACGATTGCTCGTCAGTCTGGGGATCGTGCAGCCTGTTATCATTTGGCGCGCCATTATGAAAATGTTGGAAAATTTCAGGAAGCCATTATGTTCTACACTAGAGCACAAACTTTTAGCAATGCTATACGCATATGTAAAGAAAACGATTTTCAAGATGAACTCTGGACTGTGGCCAGTTCATCGCGTAATCGTGATAAAGCAATTGCTGCAGCTTATTTCGAGGAATGTGGTTCTTTCAAACGTGCTGTAGAACTATATCATCGCGCTGGTATGTTACACAAAGCACTTGAAATGGCTTTTGAATCAGAGCAACCAGAAATTTTAGAGATAATTGCTTCTGAATTGACTATTGATTCCGATTCGGATCTAATTAAACGTTGCGCTGAGTTTTTCATTAATATAGAACAATATCAGAAAGCTGTGCATTTACTAGCAAAAACAAAACTATTAAAGCAAGCAATAAATATTTGCCATGACAAGGGTGTACCTATCACAGAAGATCTTGCAGAGATGTTAACACCAAATAAAAATGAATTTGATAGTGAAACGCGAATATATATTTTGACCCAATTAGGAGAATTACTCCAACAACAAGGTGATTATCACGCAGCCACTAAAAAGTTCACTCAAGCTGGTGATAAGGTCCGAGGTATGAAATGTTTGCTAAAGTCCGGAAATACAGAAAAAATTATATTTTTTGCAAATATGTCACGTCAACGAGAAGTCTACATTATGGCAGCGAATTATTTGCAAGCACTTAACTGGCAGGAGGATGCAAACGTGCTGAAGCATATTGTAACATTCTATTCCAAAGGACAAGCCTTCGACTCTTTAGCTAATTTTTATGCTATTTGTGCACAAATTGAAATCGAGGAATATCATGATTATGATAAGGCGCTAAAAGCAATGCATGAGGCTGCGAAATGCTTGGATAAACTTGGGCATTCACAGCAGGCCTTGAATAATTTGCAGCGTGCTATCACAGATGTTAAAACTATACTTGATATACAAAACTCTTTGCATAATGGTGATAATCAAGCTGTAATATCTGGTTGCAGAAATATGTTAAGTAAGATTTTTCAAAATATTTATCAAATATTTTATTATTTTATTTGTGACCAAAAATATTAGCAGGCTAATTGGTCATTTAACTAGAAACTCTTAAACTTGTTTCCCTGAAGATAGTCAAAATATTAAAAAATATTTAAAAATATTTATTTTAAATATAAATAATCAATTATAGTTTTTATATTTCTATTTAAATGACCAATTAGCTCGCTAATAAATTATTATTTAAAAAATTTATTTTAAATATTATATTATTTATTAAAATTTGTTTATAATATTATTCATCATATATGTTAAATATTATATAATAAAATATTATAAATTTTAGTAAAACCGGAAATGCCGCCAATAAAACAAGCTGATATACTTGCTATGTTAATAAAATCTCTAAGTTATACAAAGCAATACAATGAAGCTGGTCGCGCTTTAAAAGAACTAGCAACTCGTGAAACTTCTTGGAGTTCTATTGGTTTGTTGGATAAGGCTCTGGTGCAAAAAATTGCAGCAGAATGCAATTTAGATTTTGATCTAATATGGAATTCGGGTCGATCGAAAACAGTGACGACAACTAGTGAAAGTGGCGATGAAGGGGAAGATGAAATACAAGAGGAATTACATTAAATTATATTTTAAAAACTAAATAAGATCATGTTACGAGTCAATTACGGTTTTAAAACTTTTATGAAAACTTAATCAACTCCGAATTGTAATATAATAACCGTAATTGTTTCTTTCAGAGTTGTGAAAAAATAGCATGAAGTCTGGTTGAAACAAATTGGCATCACTTTGATTTTGCATATGTATGCTTCTTGTTTTGTTGTATTTATATGAAATATAAAGTTTGTGAACTCTAAAAATTATTTAATTTGAATAAAAGAAAGCAAAATGAATAATAGAATGGTAATGGTTAGTATTTTAATCTTCTATATTTAAATTAAACTATTTATTTATGTACTTGAATTTATTAATAAATAAAATGCTCATATGATTTTAACGGATGATTGGAATTTCGTAACGTATTGCCAGTAAATATTCACAATAGACTCATTTTTGAATTTGTCTCCACTAAAATTAAAGACATACAAATTTTTGTGAGTAAAACCTAACTCTGAAGATTTTAAGAGCATTGTTGTTGCTTCACATGTTTTCTTTCGTAAGTTGTGAGTATTATTTTGCTACTCTGTAAGAAAAAATTATGACTAATATTTAAATCAAAAATTTTAATAATTTTTTATATATTTTTATTCCAAAATAACTGACTCAATTCACCCTGTTAGATCATGAAATAAATTATTGTTGTATTTGCTATAGCAACAAACGCAACATATTCCATGCAAATGTCAAAGTAAGCACGTTTTGCGAACATAAAAAGTTGCCTTTACGTTCCAGCCAAATATCCAGTGATTTCTCTTTAAAGAGAGGAATAAAACTAGACTACATTAAAATTGCAAGTAAGTGTTTTTTAATTTAAAATACAAAATATAGTTAACTATTATTATGCCATTAAAACTATTTTATATTTTATAATTTATTTGTCAATTTTCCTATCTACTGTCAAAGTAACCAAAAAAAAAAACTTCCTATGTAAATTTTGCATAGCGCAAAATTCTCTTAATAACATAAAAAATAACATTTAAGCCAAACGTGTTGGTACTTTATAGAGTGACCATAGCATTTCATTTCTACATATGTTCGCTACAATTTAATCATTGTTTGCAAATAATATGGAAAGGCTTGTTTAGTCAACAAAATTGTATTTCAATAATTATGATGATATTTCATTTTATATTTCGTGAGATGTAAACAGTTTAAAAATGTATATAATTTGCTTAGTCATTTGTTTTTATCACATGTACGTAATTTTTGGCAGAATTTATATATTTAAAATATTCTCCATCGTCATTAATGCGAAGAAAATTTGCGTGTGTGTATTTCTACTCTGTTGCTGAGTGGAGAGTGCACTAAAGAGCGCTGTTGCTGATATACGTAATCAATCTCTAACGTAATTATCTACTCTCTCCAATTTTGTGTGTATAAACTGAGGTTTGTTGATTTTCGGCGACTTCCTATTTGCACTATAAATTAAATAAAGTATCTACAATATATATACATTTTATTTCTGTATTTACAAAATAAATTTTTCTAAATATATTAAATATCTTTTATGTGCAGTTAAATTTTTATAAATGATTGTGATCCTTTATGTTAATATCCGGAAGCGATAAAAATTCAAATATTATATTTGCAAAAGTTACTTTATTTATTTAGGATTCTATTTATCTTAGAAAAGTAAATATAGATAATATTTAGCATTATGTAAAAATACATTTTTATGATTATGAAATCAATTGATCTTATGAGAGATAAACAGTTTTTCACTATATCATGTCAGATTTACTGAGAAAATACAATAATATAAACATTATATCTATTGTTTTTTCCAAAAGAACAACTTAAATATGTTAGCTAATATATACAAACTATCTTATTTAAGAAACTAATAGTAACGATTAATATTTTATTAATAAAAATTTCTATTAGAATTTTTTTACTTTGTGTTTTACTCTCTTAATTCAAATGAATGTATTTATAACCCAGCACACAATACAAGACTACAATAAATATGCTTTATATTTCATATATAAAAAATTAAGAATAGTACATTTTATTTTATTTTAGTACTTTTTAAGCAAATCAATTGTTATTTTTCATAATATTTCAGTTTCATTATTACTTTTATTAATTTATTACTGAAAAATAGACAATTTTTGGGTGAACCCCTCTCAAATGATGACTTATATGATATATGATCATTTAAGGTATAAAATACCTATATTGTCTATGTGATATGTGAAGTAGACTTATAATAACTTATAACGCTTAAATATTGTTGATTTATATGATATATGACCATTGTAGGTATAATATACCGTTATATATGGTCTTACAATAACTTATAACGCTTAAATAGCGTTATTTAATTCCACAATCCTGCTTTAGAATGTTTATTTCATCTTGAGTTTTTTATAAGTTTTAATTTCTCTTGGAATTTGTTCTAATAAGTACCACAGAGCAAACATTTTAACAAATAGATATATGACAATACTTTATTTCAAATCAAAGAACAATAAGGTCAATGCTTTATTTTCAAAATAGTAAATCATAGTGATATATTCAACAGAGATTTTTATGATTTTAAGTTCCGTATAACGATATTTATTATGAATTAGATGTTTTTTTATGTTAACTAGGAAAAAACAATATCAGCAGTTAAAAACTCAATATTGCTACGCATTTGGTACTAGCTATTATTCTAGATTTAATATTCAAAAAATATATTGAGATTGATAGTAAAACTGGAGTAAAATTTTATTACGACTTATAATAAATGAAACACATTTGGTTTTAGTTGCTTTCAACTTTCCTTTACACATTAATTGTATAAATTTAATTTAAACTAATAAACCCCATTAGTTCAAATTAAATTTAAATTTATATATAATTTATTTGAATTATCCTACTAAAAATTTTTAATTCAAATGTAATAAACCTAGTATTATGATTTGATTGGAACACAAATTATATTGTGTTTATCACAATTTAAATTATAACAAATGCAATTATTATAATAAAAATTATTATTATTAATATATAATTATTATTATTAATAATTATATAATTAGATTTACCTGGGCCATTCAGCTTAGCTAGTAATGGATTCACACGAGAATTTTGGTTGTGATTTTAGCTGTTAATTTTTGTTGTTTTTAATGCAAATTGAAAATTAATAACTGCTAAAATTACAAAAAAAATTCTCATGTGGATTCAATATTATATTGGATACAGTATTATTAAATTTTTGACAGCTAAAATTAGAACTAACTCTCGTGTGATAACATTATTATATTGGATCCAGCATTATACTGGATTCACACGAGAGTTAATTTTAATTTTAGTTGTCAAAAATTTTTATTTTGCATTGCAAGCAACAATAATTGACACCTAAAATTACAAACATGACAGCTAAAATACAAAAAGACTCTTATGTGAATCTAGTATTATGTTGATCGAAATCACTGTATTCACAATGTGATGTCGTGTACTTTGGTTAACTAAGTTAGCATGGCATAGCTTCTTCAAAAATTGTTTACTGGGAAAATATATTTCAGCGCTCCGCATTTTTCTTAAGTGCATGCGTAAAAAAAAATGATAGTGAATTCTATCTAACACTTATGTGCGAAATGTTGTTATATTTTCTAGTTTGATATAAATTTTGTTTGCAATCAATGGTTTTTTTCTGAATTGTTGCTGGTTTTCTTTGAATGTTTGACGCACACACAGTTTGTGTCGGTGTTTAAGCGCCTGCTTATAATGTAGCGCTGATCATTTTACTGATTATTTTATTTAAAAAAGCAGCAAGTAACAACGATTGAAGCAAAGTAATTTTAAAATTCAGTCATAGTTTCGGTTCCAGGTTGAACTGACGTGCTTTGTTATTAAAAGCTCGTGCTGCCGTTTTATTGACGTTGTGTTGGATTCCTTGTTTGATCGGTTTCGGTCGTTCGGTCGGTCCGTCGACAAAATAATATATTAGACTGTGTAGAGTAGTAGTAGATCAATTCAATCCAACTCTCGGTTATTAATACAACTAAATTTTATTTTGTGTGTTGTGTCGTGCATCTGCAAATCGTTAACATAAATAAAGTTAAATAATAATTTAGTTAGAAAATAAAATCGCCATCTCAACAAATTCATGTAATATAATTTTAACGTAACTAGTTAATTAGTTATAATTATTAGTCAATTATTTTTATAACAAACAAAAAAAGGTAAGCTGCTTCATTATTATACAGTTACATATATGTTAATATATAAAATAATGAAAAATAAATAAGGAAAATAATATTAGTCGAGTGTTAAATAAATAAAAATATTTGAAATACAAATTGAGGCCAATAAAAGTGAAGTGCTGCTCTGCTCTGTTTCATTTATCTCGCAGCGTTTCAGTGTTTCACTCTCAATATTTTCGTATGATCGATCGTTTTTGTTGTTTTTTTTTTTGGTGTTCGTTTTATCAAAACGACGGTCAAGGTTACAATTTACACAAGCCAAAAGTTCGTTTAGTCAAGTGCGAATATGGATTTGGACTTCAATTAATAATTTTATTAAGATAATTTCAGTATGAAATATATAAATTCTTGTACTAACAACTTTGTCAAATTATATAATATGATTTAATATAATAATAAAAAAAATGAAGTAAAATCTGAAACGTGTTAGTTTACGTGGAGCGATGCAATTTTATAATCTCACTTTTTCAGCTAGTTTACTTCGCGTGTATACACAACATATGACATAGACACAATTAATGTATGTACATAAGTGTGTGTATAAGCTTACTTACTGGATATTGCGTGTATTTGCCATACGGAAAACAAACTTTAATTGCGCTGTCAAAAGTCCAACCGAGTGGATTACACAAAAAGTAACAATTTACTGTTCAATGTAACTTTTGCATACTTCGTCTCTTCTACTTGCATTAATTTTTTGTGCTCGCAATTATAGAACTATTTTGAAAATATTAATGCGATTTGATTTAATTCATTTACTTTACAATACGGAATATATTAACACAATATAAATATTTTGACCTTATGCCACTTTATAAAAAAAATGTATTCTACATATACACGTATACATGCATACATATACATATATTTATGCAAACATAAAACAAAAAGTAGTCATGTCTATACTCATGGATACGTGAATATTCACTTATGCTTAAGCAGGTTTTAATTTGGATATTTAAAATTAGTTTTTTTTTCCATTTTTTAGCAAATCAAAAAAAAAAAAAAACCAAACCAAAAAAAAACAACTTCAAAACTAACTTTTTTTTCAAATTACCTGCTAAGGTCAAATACAACGGCTCACTTTTTCTTTAGAATGGTCTAAACACACGAATTTGCGTATTTCTAACAATAATTAATTGAAACACTTAACGGAAGCTTACATTCCAAAGGGGCTGTAGTACTGTTTAAAGTCAGTGTCAGCGTATCTTTCTAAAAAAAAAACACTAGATCTGACATATAAAACCACAATTACTAATGATTGTGGTTTTAATACAAGTATCATTTTATATACCCCGTGTTAAGAATGAAGGTCGAGTAGGTTAGTTCCTCGATATAATATTTATATTGTGAGGAGCTATAAACATGCTCCTTCTTTTATGTAGGAGTTCTATTCACTCCTACCGGATCTGGAAATCAGCGAAAGTCACATATTAATATGAAATAATTAGTAATTTATTGTTTTTTAAAACGAACTAATTAGTCAGTATTGATATTAGGAGGCCATCAATGGCCGACATTCTGGCTTTCATTCGAAAGACGGAATGTCTTCTATTCGGTTAGGGTCTGTTGCAGCACAAAAGATCAATCATGGTGGCAGTGCTCAGCTCTATTGGGAGCTAGTCTATTGCGCTAATGTAACAATTATGTTACATTAAATTAACAATTAATTATATATTATGTTATATTAATACTAACAATTATGTAACATTATAATTATAATTAATTATATTTTATATTATATTAACAGTAACAATTATGTTACATTATATTAACATTATATAGTACCGTGATGATGATTATAGAATATAGTCGAAATACCGGCACAAATAAAATCTTTTAAAAAACAAAAAATTTTTTTAAAAAGTATATTATTTAATTATTAATCAATTAGCCCGTTAAAAAACAAAATTGTAAAATAATTAGATAAAACTAAATGAGAGGGAAAGGAAACACTTATAAAGAAAATCGAATACTTAGTCATTCCAGAGGAGGTGATCAATTATTTCTTTTAGAGTTATTATACACCTCGAATATTTCCAAATGTTTACTGCGCGTAGCCTTACCACGGAAACAATTTTTTAAACATTAGAACACTAAGAGTGCCTGTACTTTTTGTTGTCAAAGAAGACAAAGGGAATCTATGATGAATTGATCACAGAGAAGGTGATATATTGATCATTTTTGGAATAATTATATTTTTCGCATGTTTGAAAATGGTTGCTGATCTAAACCTTATCAGATTGAAAAATTTTTTAAATATTGGAACCCTAATATTCTCTGCACACGTCATTAAAACAGGATACGATACAATTACATAAAGGAAAGAGCCCTGAAATTATTTGCGAAATCTGACAGAGTTACCAACACCGCGTTATCAAATCTCAGAATGGTTACAGGCTCCTCGGGGAGATATGCAGATCTGAGGTCAATTATTGCTTAGTCTAATGAAGTGATAAACAATAATCCAGTCAAGGCGCAAAGAGGGGTTTTGTAGAAACCTCGCAGTTAATAGAGAGTCAAATAGCTCAGGCGCACTGATTCAACTCAACTAGCCTCAACATCGTCAACAATTACGTGCATTAAAGTTGTATTTTCTTCCTCTTCTCCATAATGTTTCGGTTGTCTCTGCGTTTGAATCTTATGTTTAGAAAATACTGTACGGATTATAAGTACAATCCATAGAACGTATTCTATAGCAAATTAATTGAATTTTTTGGATTATATTAATAATTTTACTTACAGTTTTGTAAGTAGTTAGACGTTCTAACTGAACAATGTAAGACAACTCTAAAAGTTGTCTAGCAATATATGGATATGTGTACTAAGTTTTCTTTTCGTTCTAGTTGTTTGTATGTTTTGCTGATATCTCTACTATCGAATCTGAATTTTAGACCATACAATGTATTTTAAATATGCGTATAAGAACAAATCCCAGTACGAAATAATTAAATGAATTCAGAACATTTTTTGTCTACATATATTGTCCGAATGACGATACTATGTTAAAATTTATTTCTTATGTCAAAGTAGTACTTAATATTATATTGCAGTATTTCTATTAAATTATTTGCAACAATCTTTATTTATACTTAAAAGTAAAGTTTATTTTATAAAACATACATTTTTTCAATTGCACTTACTATTCTGCAAGTGTCTATATTTTTCTATCTTATATTATCAGCTCTCATCATTTTGGTATTCGGTTTTTTATTGACTTTGTTGAGAGGTATCAATGCTTAAGAAATTGATACTACTTTTTAGCTGTTTACTTTTTCGTTTCCTTTATCGCCTTTTAAGTCCCATTATTTATAATAAACTTCTAAAGTTGCAATCTGCCACAGTCTCAAACGTGGTATTTTCACACCTAAATATGCTGGATTGTGTTGTAGTATATTATCTACACAATTATTTTTACTACTACAATAATAATTTGCAATACACGACTTTAGATTAGTTTAAATTCCGGTACTTTAAGTGTTCCGCAGTTTTTTTTATAGATCAAAGATATATATAATAATATAACATCAACTCAGGTATACGTTTTTACTTAGTCTATTTTATGGAGACGACATAGTTTCTGTAGTCCGGAGTAACATGTTCAATAATCGTCTGTTATTTTTTATGTAATTTCTTTATATAATCATTTCACAACTAAATATAGTATCAGGTATTAAATTTGGTATCAGAATGTTAACGAATCTATCGTTTCCTTTAAATTATTTTTAAAGTTTGTTAAGAAAGTGGATTGAGGGTTGGGGATATTACCTCATTGCCCACATGTCATAAAATAGTACTTCTGCCACACTCTTAGGGTGCTATCATCTTATATTCCATTATTGGTTAGATATATACTTGAACTTTTTAATAAGTTAAAAGACAAACAAATTGTTAATATATGTATTATTCTATTAAATAAATCAGAAAGGAATCACATTTATGAGTATTATTAAGCATTATTAAAATATTTTTATAAATTGGTATTGTTTCCAACAATTAATTAATAAGTTTATTAAGATCTGTTGATTATATGTAACATTTTTATGGCTGCTCGACATTAAAGCAGTGTGTAATATATTTTCTGAAATGCAACTAAGTAATGTTTTTTTAAAAAGGAATTTTTTGATTAAAATGAATTAAGTGGCCAATATCAGGTTATACGAGTTTATGCTTTATTATAAAATTATTAGGTTGTTAATACAGAGACAAATAAAACTTTACTTGCACAAAAATTGCTATATTTTTATTATATTCTGTTGGAATGAGATATTTTTAAAAATGTTACGAAATTCATTTACATTGGATATGTGAATTCTGATGATCCCGTCTTCTAGTTTTAGAGTGAAGAGTGTGAATCGTATACCTATTAGTCCTAATCATTTACAAAACAATTCAACCAAAGTCTGTGATCCTGAAGTATTGCTTTACATTAAAATCGATGCCTATACTGTAGACTAGGATACTACATGATAATATAGTGTCAATATAAGGAACAAAAATGGATTTTCTGAATAAAAGCTTCATTTCCAAGCTGCACTTTCTTGTAGTTGTTCTATTAATACGGATTTATTAATAGCGTGACATAGAATAAATATTAATAATAAAATTGTAATTTTTCCATTTATATATTTTTGAATAAATTTGAATAAGTTTATATATCCGATTCTATTATCATTGTATTTTAAGAAAGCATTTCTCAAATAAAAATTTAAACTCGCAAATCTGTTTTATTTTATTACCTTGCATCATTTTTTCAATTTATTTAATAATCAAATCATTCTAAAAATAACTCTTAAATTATACTGAATTATATACATATTGGTTCAGATGGGATAACTTCATAGACAATGGTTTCAAAGATAAAGCGACGTCGAAGTAGAATTCAATTATTTAGAACTCAAAATTTTAATATATATTATTTCTTTAATTTACAAGTACAGCTATTATTTCTTTGGCATTTTAAACGAAAATAAATATTA